TAATTAATAAAAGAAAAATTTTTATATACATTTTTTATTATATTATATTATAAATTTTTTTATATTAAAAGATTTATAATATAGTATAAGTTTAAATATAAATTAAAGTTTATATACATCGAATATTCTCATTTCATTAAAAATTATTGAGGAATGTGAGAACCGATCCGCAGAACTAATTAAACGGATTGCATATTTCTGACGGCGACAGAATCATTGTAACTTGCTTTAATGATACATATTAAAAACAAAAGTGGTCCTAATATGGAACCATGCAAAACACCACAGCAGCTATGGGGTCTTCCATAAAGTAAGTATGCAGGTATAGGAGGAGAGGTTTTCTCGAAAACGTACGAGTGCGTACAAGTGGGGGGAAAGATTAAAAACAGAGAGCATGTACGCGGTTTGACCTCTTATTTTATACCTCTCCTAAAACTTGATTTTATTTTTTAAACACAAGTTTAAAAAATCAATACTATGATTTGCAAAAGGGAAATGTCAAAGTATCTAAAAGTTTTTTTGTTTTGCAAAATGTAAGCGTTGGAGAAGTTTGGGGGATGATTTTGAAATAGATAATGCCTACGTATGCAGTGGAAGGAGAGGGGAGCAAATCATTAATTAATCAACTTTTTGATCAATTGAATATTTAAAAACTTTAACAAGAATATATTTTATTTGTTAAAAGCAATCTTGATTTATGTTACCCTTAATTTCATCAGATCCAGCTCCTTTTGCTTTTTTGTTTTTTTCAGTTTTTTAAAAACTTTTCAAACTTGTCCGAAAATAACTCAACAAATAACTTAATAAAGATAACTTAATATCTATCGTGAGAAATCTTTAAATGAGACTTTGTTGTTAGAAATTACTTTAGATAATTTAGAGCCAATTTCAATAAAGATTTAATTGAATTTGTGAGCTACAGTTTGAGGACTGTAAATATTATATTGTTATCTAGTTTAACCATCTGTGGCAGGAAACCTTTAGGTTTACCAATAATTTTTTTAGTTGCTACCAGGAAAGCTTACAATTGTGTTTTTGTTTTGTTAAGAAAATTGGAATAGTAATGGTTTTTTTTTAAGTTTTTTTTTTCAGACTTTTGTGAAAATATTTTTCTAGTCTCGTATATTCTTTTGCAATCTTTGTTGTTCATTGGCAGATTCTGTTTTTCAGATATTTTATTTATAATTTCTGTTCAACTTCTGATTTACTTAAAAAATTTATACTTTATTTAACCCATTATTTATACCTTTTTTAACCCAGAAAGAATTAATGTATATATTTATTTGCTATAGCAACAGCTTAAAAGAATATTAGAATTTCAATAGTTTAAATTTGTTTACCATCTTTGTCTCTCTTGAGAAATTCAAAACAATGAAAATTAAAATTTGAATTATTATTAAAATTTTTTATAAATCTTTCGGTTAAACAAATGATATTTAAAAATTTAATCGTTTTTTGTTATAAATTATGATTTTCGAAAACTACGTTTTAAACTTTTCAAATTTATATGAAGATAGAAAATATGAAAATTACGGCTATGATTCAGATTTCTTATTTTGGTCAATAAATTCTTAGTAGGTTTTATTTTATTTTATCAACCATTCCGTTGGAAAGTACATCAGATAGTGTATTATTAGCATATTTTATCTTTCCAACTGCAAGATAGTTGTCTTTCCAGAAGATTTCATGTGATTCATAAATCCTGAAAGCTGACATAAAAGTGGAACCAGTTGTTGTTCAACTGGATTCAATGCGCTTTTGTGTGGTATATTTGTGATAATTGTTAAAAAATTAAAGAAAAAGTGAAAAAGTTTTCAGTAGCGTCTAAAAATAGCGGTAATGCATACAACTTTGCATAATCTCTTGCATGAGATTAATCAATAGACTTTAAATATTTTGTTGATCTTTATCAATTTTAGTCCAGTATAGGCAGATAAATTATGTTTAAGGTGTAACAACAAAATAGTGATCAGATATCCTTACGTAATGTAGCGACAATATAGTGATCCTTACATTCCATAAGAATGGTCAAGAGAGATTGAAAAAAAGCTGTCACTTTTGCCTTGTGATCTCGGCCCACTAAAGCAACTTCTGGTGACAATATCTTCAAATTCTCAATCAAAGAAAACAAAGTTTTATATTAGGATAAAAATGTATGCTTTTTATAAAAATGTATGCTTGTCTTGATGAGTCTGATTAAGATTTTTTGAGGCCCTTCAAAGTAAGCGACCCGGTACTTAAGCCCAAGTCTCCTCTTTTAATTCAATCTTGTCATATATTGTTTGTAAACATTTTGGGACGAGATGATAATAATCAGAATAGTTGATCTGTTAATTGTGAAGTTTTCTTTTTTCTAAGTTTGTGTTTTGATCATGTGACAGCACAATATTTGAAATTTAAGGTATTTGATAAGTGAAACTGTTTGCTTTAAAAACTGATGGGGTTTACAAAATTGATTGGTCTTAAAATGATGTTGCTTTTGAATTATTGATGAGCTTGAAGAGGCTTGATACAGTTTTTTTGAGATTCTTCTTGCTTTCTTGAATTTCTAGAACCTTAAACTAACATTTATCTTAAATATTTGGAATATCTTTGATCGAACTAATTATATTTTATTTCTTTATACATAATTTTCTTATGCCTAGTTTCTTTTTAAGCCTTCAGTAAGTTTATACATTATATAAATTGTTACAAAAATAAAAAAATAATTCTATTTTCTGCTTAATTTTATAAGTAAGTCACATTAATCTGCTGTGTTAGTAAAACCTAACAGAACGCAATTTAAAATATGTTACATCTGAACATTTTAAAATATTGTATTTTTTATAGGATAAAAAGGAAAGCAGGTTTATTGAAATTTTTGTAAAGCCCATTTATTCGTATAAACCATTTAGGGAAGCTTTTTAACCTTTTATTTTTGAAAACTACATCTTAGTAATTTCCCTACAAATAAGTTATTCGCTATAAAAAAAGCTATACAAATAACTATAAGTCAGCTATACAAATAAGCTAAAACAAGAGCTTTATAATGCATATAAAAATATATACGTTTTTTTCCTTTATTGACACTTTGACTAACTTTTATTCATGTTATATGAGAAGAAGATAGGAAAATGTTCTATGCCCATAAGTTTTAATAGCCATATTTGATGAGTCATTACTTTTTATATTCTTTGCATCATACAATAAAGTGACATTTTAAGTGTTTTTAGTTAATAAAGTGACATTTTAAGTGTTTTTTTTTTTTTGACGTTCTGCGCCAATGCTCTGGCGTTATTATATTTATATAAATGAATTAGATTAACAAATAAATTTTTCCTTTTTTGGTTTTTATTGAATAAATTTTTTTTTTTTCTTTTATCCAAATTTTACAAATGCGTGATCATAATATAAACTGATTAGTTTACAATGTATAAAATAAAATATCTTACATATTATATGAACCTTTTTCAGTACAAATATTAAATTTAGCACAAATAATTAATATAAAAGTTAAAAGAACGTGGGAAACTTGCAGAAGTCTTGTCATCAAGAAACCGCTTATACTTGTAATAATTTTTGTATTTTCGTTATACAATGTTTTAAGTTTTACAAAATACTTCATTTTATATTGGATTCACATATAATAAAAAGTTAAAAAAAAGAAAAAGAAGTTTATAAATTTTAGTAGTTTGTAGTACACATAATACATAAATTATATTTATGCCTAATATAATATATTAGGCATAAATATAATTATTACTGATTTATATTGATTTTTTTATATAAATATATATTAATAATGTATATTTATATAAAAAAATCAATATAAATCAGTAATAATTATATTTATGCCTAATATATTTATGTGTAATATGATATCCAAAAATGCCATGATTACAAAATTAGATAACATATATTGTTTGAAAATCTTACTATAAAAACGCGATAATTTCGTTTTTCTGAACGGTATATTAAAGTTTCCTACTTCCCAAGTGCCAATTTTATTGCTTTTAAAGAATTCATTTAAGAAATGTGATGAGACAAGCCCGAGTTTATATTTTAGCATGAACAGTAAGTTTTGGTAAATGTTAATTCTACAGACGTTTAGTGCATTAAGGTATTTTAACAAAGGTTCAGCACGAGTGAGTTTATCTTTTTTATTGACAATTCTAACGGCATGTTTTTGATGTCGATAAAGTGATTTCAAATTGGATTTATAGGTACTTGCCGATGCTATACTACCATATGTATAATAGGTATAAATGAGAAATAAAGATGTTTTAGATTTTCTTGGGATAACATTGGTCTAGCCTTGTATAGCACGCCACTGTTTTAGGTTATTTTAGTATTTAAATAGTCAATATGTGCTTTCCATGAAATATTTTCATCAATAAGTAAACCTAGAAATTTAATTGTTTTGGTTCTTTCAATATTTTGGTTTTCAATATTTAGCAATGGCAATATATTTGGTAGTTTATTTATTTTTTGTTTGGAATGCAATAACCCAGTAAGCAGACACTATTTGGCCCAATAGCGAACCAGGCTCGGATGCCGAGCTGTAACAGGCCTGGCACGCCAGCGCCGGGTTGTTCATTGGTTTTTCAAAGTGCCACTATACGCAAGCCAGTGCTGGCGCAGCAACGTTTTGCTAGTGGCAAGCCAGCATTGATTCAATTTAGGGGCAACGCTGTCAATCAGCGATTGATTCAATTTAGGGCCAATGCTGGCAATCAGCGAACGTTGCACTAAACGCCCACTAAACAAAATTGTCCAATTAAACTACTTTTTTCATCAATTTTTTACTAATTTTACTTATTTTTTATATATATATATATATATATATATACATATATATATATATATATATATATATATATATATAAATTTTATAATTATATAAAAATAATTATATCTATTATGTTTGTCAGTTATGCATTTTTTTTTACTTTTTGTTAAAATAGACATAAGTTAAAAACAAAAAACAATTATTGAATTCATATAATATATTGTTTGTTAATAATTTACAAGTTTGTAAATATTTTAAAAATAAATGCATTAAATTTATCATTAATAATATAAATACTTGTAAAGCTTATAATAATGCCAAATATACAATTAATATAAAACATAACATATAAAACAGATCATGCAAGACTTTGAGAACATTATTATTTGTCAGATTCATCAAAAATAAAGCGTTCAAATTGTGGTAATGATAATCCAGATAAAGGTTTCAATGTCAGTGATTAAGCAGTATAGCCACGATTTTTTGTTGAACTGGTTTTCTGGATGAACTTTTTTTCTGCTCTTTCTTTTCTGCCTCTATTTCTGTCTAGAGCTTCAGAAAAAAAAGCCACAACTGTTTTTTAAATTTCGCTGTATGTGGTATCTTTTGTCAGCAAGTTTCTTCCTATTGCTTCTATAAACATAAACGCAGTCATATATCAAGTGTTTTTATGAACAAAATTATAAGAGTATAGCTAAATATAGCTGTTGTATATATCTGTATATGTCTATATCTGTATCTCTCTCTTTGTTTATATATATATATATATATATATATATATATATATATATATATATATATATATATATATATATATATATATATATATATATATATATATATATATACATATACATATGGGCAGGATTAAAAAGCCTTTTTTTTTCAAAAGAAATGACCTTTATAAACTAAATTGGAAATTCAAAAAAAATAATAAAAACGTCTAGAAGGGGGCAATAATATCTAACATGCTACCTATAAAGACTTATTTAATTTCAGGTAAAAATATTGCATGTGGAATAATAACTTTTTTGTTATAGCCATCGAAATTTGTGTCACGGAAGGAACTTACCGTTCCTTCCCTGACACAAGTTTTTAATGCCTATAACTAAAAATTTAGAATTCTACTAACAATGTCTTTTCTCAAAATTGAATAGATATTTATAGTTAGTTTGTTAGGTATTTTTACCCCCTTCTAAACCTTTTAAATTTTTTTTAAACTTCCAATTTAGTTTATAAAGGCCATTCCTTTTGAAAAATACGACTTTTTTTTGCATCTCAAATCGAGCAGGTTTTGATTCGAAAATCCAATCGTGGATTAAATCAGCAATTTGAGAAATATGAGTTAAAATATTTCTTTAAATTATATATTTTAAAGGAAAAAAAAATAATAGTAAAAACTCTTTTTTGGTGCTTCATGTAGTAGTTAACCTTTTAAACAATTGGTAACAATTTTTAACAATTGGTAACAATTTTTAACAATTGGTAACAATTTTTAACAATTTTTAACAATTGGTAACAATTTTTAACAATTGGTAACAATTTTTAACAATTGGTAACAATTTTTAACAATTGGTAACAATTTTTAACAATTGGTAACAATTTTTAACAATTGGTAACAATTTTTAACAATTGGTAACAATTTTTAACAACTGGTAACAATTGGTAACAATTTTAACAATTGGTAAGAATAAAGAAAGTATTTTTTGAAAGTGCAAAAGTGCCCAATTATTCAAAAATACTACAACAAAAAGAAAATAAGTAAATATTTAATAACTTAAATCTTTTTTTTTTTGAAACTCAAACCACTTTTTCGATTCAATTCGAAATTTTGAAGATTCACATGGCCCTAATGAGTGTATGTATGTATGATGTATGTATGTATGTATGTATGTATTTATTGTTGTATGTATGTATGTATGTATGAGTATATATACATATATATATATATATATATATATATATATATATATATATATATATATATATATATATATATATATATATATATATATATATATATATATATATATATATATAAACACACACACACACAGAAACACACATATATAAATTTAATAAATGACAATAAAGTGAAGAAAACAATGAAAGACAATTTTAAATATTTATATTTATTTATTATTTATATTTATTAACTTACTTTCAATAACTTTACGAAATTTAAGAATTCGGAAAGACTTTTTTTGAAGATCACATTGCCCTGTCCAATTCAATTTTTTTGCTACTTCCCTAGTTTTTTGTTACCACTAGTAAAACAATTTAGTTCATATTTTTTTATTAACATTAGTTATAATTCATAAAATGTTTTGCAATAGGCTACAAATTAGTAGACAAAATACCTTAATCACAGAGGTAATTATGATCACTTTTTCCAATCTCGTTTTACTTTTGTTTAATACAGAGACAGGTGTCTGCAGACAAGACTTTTTTAATTCTTGATGTTCATTAAAATCTTGTGAGTCACTATCATAATTTTCATCAGGTTATTTCTGTACTCTAAACACATAAGTCTAATGTTAAAATATAGTTTATAGAAATTTTTATGGTATATTATAAACACCTTAAAGTATACATTAAAAAGTATACATGAAATACAAAATAATACCTTAAGATATTACGATGTCCAGTAAAAATTATTTTAAGGCTAAACATTACCAGAGTTAATAAGTGTATACTTTATTCTAAAAATAATAATTAAAACTTAGTGAAGTACTTGTTTTACTCAACACCAAATTAAAAATAAAGAAATTATAAAGAAATGTAATTAAAGTTGAATAAATATATAGAATAAAGGAAAATAAAGGTGGGGGATGATGACAATGATGATGAGATCATATAAAATATAGCATTAAAAAAATACATATATATAATGAATTTTATTTAAATACATAAAAAACACAAAATTAAATAAAATTTTAGGATGCATTAATATTTAAGCAGCTCTGGTCATAGATCAGCAAACCAAATTAGTGAATTCTTGTGTGATATTATGCTGAGAAGATCAAAATGCTAAATCACCCTCTAGTTCATCTATTACAATATTCTTATCACTTTTATCTGAATCGTTATTAGATAAAGTTTCAAATTCACTATTTTCATTATCAATTTGATAAGAAATATTGAGGTTATTATCCAGAGCAGTGGTGTTGGAAGACATTATCTGTAGTGTTCAACCCATATTTTTTGAAATTGCTTTGAACGACTGTTTTGGGCAAAGCGTCAATAGGCTGAGGAAAATAAAACCCAGTTTTACCTATGTAATCATAGTTATAGGCTCCATCAATAACCAATTCCCCTTGATTGATTTCGGACAGATAAATAAATAAATAAAAGTTTAAATAAAATAATTTTAATTTCTCGAATTTTTTTTCTTTAAGTCCAATAGCTTATGACTAAAACCAAGATTACTAAATATACAGGATGTTATATTATTATAATATAACTTATATAATGAAAATTATATATTTGAATGAAAACATAAATATATTTTTCTCTCCGTAAAATTTGCATCTACATTAAAAACATTTTGTACAAAGCATTTTTGTACCTTAGACGAGCCATTGATGATACGCTTATGGTATGGCAATGGCTAGTCAGTTCTGGTTCGCCAGCTAAGGCCCTTAACTGCATCACATGTGTTTTGCCGGACATGGCTCTGGCCATTACATTAATAATGTAGTACATTATTAATGCAGTACATTAGTACAGCAGTACATTAATAATGTACAGCTGATTACATTAATAATGTACATTAATAGATTTTAGTATACTTTAATATACATTATAATATACAATATACATTATAATATACATTTTAGTATACTTTAATATACATTAAAGATTACATTAATAACGTACATTAATAATGTACATTAGTACAGCAGTACATTAATAATGTACTGCTGATTGGGAAGATGCAAGGCGTACTTAAATAACAGGCCTTCTCATCGCGTAACGGCTTAAAAAATGTGGAGGCTGATTTAGTTAGCGGCAAAAGTTACTACGAATAACTTGTATCCCTACCAGAAGACTTAAAAATGCCTAGAAAATGTTGTGTTACTGGTTGTAACTCTAACTATGACTCAGTAAAAGATAAGACAACTACTTTCAGATTACCGAGAGATCCAGTAGAGCGTCTAAGATGGATTAAAGCAATCCCAAGAGAAAATATACCAGACAAACATGACACTGTAGTTTGTGCAAAACATTTTCCACCAAACTTCCAAGTTATTAAAGTAAAAGGAAGAGAAAGACCTCGAGATCCACCTAGTGTATTCGAACAAATACCCAAGAGTTTAATGCCAACTCCTCCACCAGAAAAAAGAACAACAACAAAATCCAAAAGCTCTGTAAGATCAATAAAAGAAGATGAACTTTCAAAATTCGAAGAGCTTTACAAAATTGATTCATTCGAAAATTTTTGTAATTCGTTATCTCTAGAAAAACTTAATGATTCAGTTGTTTATTATAATTGTTTAAATAGCTGTTGTATTCAATCAAAAGAGCATGAAAACAATACTGGTATTAATAAATTTTGTTTAATAGTATTTAATGACTTATCATATGAAGCCTATCATGCTGGAGTAAGATGCACTATTGCTTCCTTAGTTAAAAATTGTATTCATAAGTTCAAATGTTGGTCGCAAGTTCATGAGGCATTACGATATTTGATTTCCTTTGAAAAGTCAGAAAATAAAACAGTTTTAAATCAGCAATTTGAATGCATGAGTAACATGAACTCAAGTAATATTCTTAAGCAAAAATATTCGCCTGAAGTAATTGTTCGAGCTTTTGAGTATTTTGCACAGTCACGTAGTTTATACAATCAATTAAGAAATGATTTTCAACTTCCTAGTATTGCTACCCTTACACGTTTAACTTCAAAAGTTTCACACTTTGATGATAATACTTTTATTTGTAGTGTTTTTTCAAAACTCAACAATGGTCAAAAACAATGTATACTATTATTAGATGAAGTTTATGTTAAACCTATGCTAACTTATCATGGAGGACAGTTGTTTGGTAAAGCAGTAAATGATGAATCAAATCTTGCAAAAACTGTATTGGCTTTCATGGTTGTATGTTTTTATGGAGGACCAAAATTTTTAGTTAAAATGTTACCAGTAAATAATTTAGATGCAGATTTTTTATATGATCAAACTATTATCTTAATCAACCAAATTACGAAGGCAAATGGAAAAGTTATTGCTTTAATTAATGATAATAATAGAATAAATCAAGCATTTTTCAAACGATTTGATTGCATATTTCCATGGTTAACAACTGATGGCATTTTTTTACTCTTTGATTTTGTGCATTTAATAAAGTGTATACGAAACAATTGGATAACTGAAAAGTCTGGTGAAATTGAGTTTAGTTATAGAGGAAAAAAATATAATGCTAAATGGGATCACATCAAAAAGCTTCAAAAGTTAGAAGAAGGTGAATTGGTTAAAATGTCTAAGTTGACTTATGTTGCTGTTAACCCAAGGCCAATTGAGAGACAAAAAGTTGATATAAATGCATTAAAGTGTCATCAAAGTATGAAAGATGATGATATTGATGGAACTATTATTTTTTTAACTAAGGTGGTTCAATTTTGGAAAATAGTCAATGTTAAAAGTCCATCCGAAGAAATCCATTTGAAAGACAACTTATGAGCTCCCATATCATATGTTGATGATTTACAATTAAATGATTTAATTGAGTTTTCTGAAATGTTAAAGCCAACATTGATTCAAGGAAAAAGAATTAGAAGTATAACCATGGATACAAGCAATGCATTATATCAAACTTGTAATGGTTTAGTTGAACTAAGTAAGCATTTGTTAGACAATTCTCAAATGTATGTACTGCTTGGGAATTTTACAACAGACCCCATAGAAAGAGCATTTGGAAAACTCAGACAAGGTAGTGGGGGAACTTATTTTATAAATACTCAACAAGTAATTGAAAAGTGGAATATCAACAAAACCAAACTATTTCTTCAGAAAACTATCAACATTTCAAGTGCTGAGTTTACATCTGGTCATATTTGTGATAATTGTTTTTATAAACTTTCAGAAGATGAGTGTGAGATGTTTAATCATTTACATGAACTTTTAGACCAACTTTCATCGAATATTAAGTCATCTTTAGTTTACATTGCAGGTTATATTTCTAGAAAAGACAATGAAGATGATAACGATGACACTTATCTGTACTATAGTAATTATGGAAATTATACATCTGCCTTAGATCGTGGTGGTCTGAAAATACCCAGTGATACATTTTGTGAATGGGTATTCTTAAGTTACATTTTGTTTAATTTTGTTGGCACATCAAACTTTTGTAGATATTCTATGTTCTGCTTATTCATGGATATTGCATGTATTTATGGTTTCACCATAATTACAAGAAACCATTGTTATATTCTTACAAATATATTATTTAACAATTTTTGCTATATGCATTCACCTGCATCAGACAAGGAAACCAAAGTTAAAGCTTTAAAACTGTTTTGTTAGCTTTTGTGAATAAATATACCATAAAAAGTTTCCAATTTAACTTTAGATGATATTTCGTTTAAAAATTGCTAATTTATATTTTTACTTTTTAATTCTTTCTGTTAATGTTTCATTGTATGCAAATACATAGAAGTAGCTTGGTTATCTTTTGTTATTGTTATTTTTGAACTTACGAGGTGCTGTTTTTTTTTTTACTTTCTTGACAAAATAACAATTATTTTTGTTTTATAAACGTTTTTGTAATAAAAATATCGCCTTCTTTATAAAATGATAAAATATTATTTAGTAAAAAATGGCATGGTTTAAGCCTTACATTCTTCTTATCCTTAGTTTTTTATTTAATCAGGTTATGCATTTAGAGAAATAGACTAAAATAATCAAATCACAAGCTCCTACTATATTGTTAAAAGAATTTTTAAATATTTAAAACTTAAAAAAAAAATTGTTTAATAGTTGAGAGCATCAAAACCAAATCAGCCTCCACATTTTTCAAGCCGTTGCGCGATGAGAAGGCCTGTTATTTAAGTACGCCTTGGGAAAATGTAATTAGTTTTTTCTGTGTTTAAAGATAATTTATTAGATTTTAGCCAAATATTTAGTTTTTCAAGTTCAACACTTGCTGTTTCAAAAAGTTCTGTAATAGACGGGGATGAGTAAAATAAATTAGTAATAATCTGCAAACATTATGACATAAAGTTTGTTTGAGGCTTTCGGAAGATCATTAATGTATATTAAAAACAGTAAGGGAGCTAGAATGGAACCTTGGGAAACGCTACATTTAATCTTTAGCTTTTTTGAATAGATATTTTCATCAGTATTAACAGACTGCTGTCTGTTTAGCAAAAAGTTTTTAAACCAGAAAAATGCAACATTTTTTACGCCATATTTTTCAATTTTTTCTGAGCAGGATTTCATGATCAACAGTTTCGAATACTTTCGATAGATCTATAAAGATGCCTAGAACGAGTTCTTTATTATCAAATGATTAGTTGATGCTATTTACAAGATCTACGATTACATGTTCGGTTGCATGTTGCTTTTGAAAGCCAAATTATTTTTCGCAGTGGATAGCCTACCGAAAGTCGGTATCGGAAAAATAAAAATTATCCTACCGAAAGTTTTTTTTAATTAGTTAAAAAATATCACGTGTCACAATAAAATAGCTAAGTAAAGGTATTTTTAAACTACGTAGACATAACGTAATAAAGACATAACGTTGCACCGCACTCAGGTGCTCAGAGTTCGAGTCCTTCCTAAGGAACATATACGTGTTACATTTTGATTTTTTTTTTCAATGTTTTTTAAGTTTTATTACGCTTATTAATTGAATAAATTATTTAGGGATATACGCTGGGAATAGCACAATGAGTGTTCTTGCATTAATAGCCGCAATGGAGTGTTCATACACTGACTGATTTAGAGATAGGCACCGAGAAATGTACATGCATTTACAAATTTAGGGATAGGTGCAGTGAAGTGTGCATTCATTTACTAATTTAGGGATAGGCGCAGTGAAGTGTACATACATTTACTAATATAGGGATAGGCGCTGTGGAGTGTACATGTATTGACTGAGGGTTTTGGTATGGGGTGGCAGTCATTTCTATTTATTTAATGGAAAATCCTATTTAATATTTTACGGTATAACAAATATTGTTTATTTTGACATGTGATATTCTAAACCAATAAAAAAACCTTTCGGTAGGATAATTTTTATTTTTCAGCTACGAACTTTCGGTAGGCTATCCACGGCGATTGTTTTTTACTTAATATGTTGTTGTTTGTTTGTTAAGTATTTGTATAGTTTAATATAAATTATTCGATCGAGATGTTTTGAGAATACAGGAAAGATTGAGATTGGTCTATAACTGTTTAGTAAATATGGATCTCCAGTTTTATATATTGGTACAATTTTTGCAATTTTTAATTTCTCCGGAAATATCAGTTAAGTATCAATATCAAATAATCAGTTATAAATAATATAACATATTTTTACAAAATAGTAATCTTATTTGCACATACTATGTTTTCAGCAATCGATATGAAGGATGCTCATAGGTAGGTAGATGTTTTAAAATAAGTGTTCACAATGTAAATTAACAGACATTAATTTTATAATAGAATACTGGCAAATATTTATAATAAAATAATAC